TTAATAAGCGATATAAAATTCTGATCTGACATATATCACTTCGGAATTGACATAAATTCCGATCTGACATACAACATCAAATTTCAGCATCATCCGGATGACATGTGCATTCGCTGATATTATTTTCATAATCAACCCGATTTTTTCCAAATAACCCATGCGGTCGACCAGTACGACAGGACTTTTTTTTTTGCCCAGATTTCACCGCGATCACTTCAATTTGGATATCGATCAATAGTTGTAACCACTTTATGACTGGACTGCAAAACAAAATCTTGCTCAAATCTTTTAACGTAAAAGTTACGAGTATTTAGAACTTCTTTGTGAAGCCAAACCCTTCTTTTCCCATTGTATTACGCCATGAATCGTCGATCCGTCGATTGTCAGATCGGATTTGTAGCATAGCATAATGTCAAGAGTGCGCGCACACTATACACTGCGATTTGTATATTATTACGGGTGCCCGTATTCCAATAATGTCTGAATTGGTCATAACAATAAATCATTTGTTGTTAATGGAATTCACTACACAATTTGTTGGTCACTCAAATTACATTGTCAATACTCACGTCTATTGCAATAATATCAACCATGCCATGCATGACAATAGTCGATCTCAAGCATAATTTCTTCGTAGAATTTCTGGTTGCATGATTCGTTAAAGCTATAACTATTACTCGTTTAATCAAAGTGTACAAAATCTAATATCGTGTAGTTAACAGTTCAATAGAGCGGCAGAATTAATATTATTTATATCAAAGTGCGTTATATTATCATATTGAGGAGTGAGTGGAGCGTTGGCATATTAGTCCTGTTAATCTGGGACATTGTCTTGCAGGTTGGTTACAGCGTCCGCTTCGACTACCGCACGGCTTATAATATACTTAACAAAATATTCGGTCGACATACTTGATAAATTTTGTGGACTACATCTTGTTTTGGGATGGTAAACGCGAAGTCCAGAATAAGCGAAATAATAAAAATTAAAGGTGTTCGTTATGAGTGCCGCTTTAGCTGCACAGAATATTTTCAAACGCTAGTTTTAATATGTTACCAGAGTTTACTTTACATTCTTATTGATTCTGAAGAGTTTTTTCCCCCCAGAAATTCAATTCTATCCATATGGATAATTTCTTGTAACACTCTTGACAGTATGATATACGTAATTATCGGCATGACTCACAGATACCGTGCCCGATGTTCACCGCCGCTGTATTTGCGGAAACCAGCACATCTCTGGCGAACAATATTCTCGATATCAATATAGCCGAAACTTCAGCCACGATTAACGGCGTACGATATATAATGTCCACCAGAAGGCTTAAAGACGAAGTTTTCAATTTCAAGGGTTAGGCTTGGAGTCTCTGATAATAAAAAAAATCCAGGGAAACAACGAATGGGCCGTGCCGGACGCGCACAATATAAGGTAGTTCGCCGGTTGTGATAAAAAGAGGTAAACACTTTATCTGTTTGGTGTCCGGGTTTACGCTATCAGTTATCTACAGACACAGAACATGACAAGAGAACAGACAAAATAATGTTTGAATCAAATGCACCAGCAAGGAATATGCATATATTACAAGTTTCTACTGTTTCGTCAATTACTTCATTTGTTCGCGTATTTCGTTATTCAAGAAGAAAACTTTCCGGTACCTCACTAGTCAAGCACCTTGAACAGTATATTCTTTGAATCACCTCGACAATATCGGGAGAATAACGAGCCTCGGGAGGAGAGTGATCCAAGTTATATAACCACACCTCGATTATTGATGATTATTGTTGGCCCCAACACGAAGTCACCCGCGTTCACCGCTTCTTGTAAGCGTAACATACTGACGGGATTACATAAACCCGCCCACTATTTCAATTATTCAATATTGTGATAGACGGCCTAGTGAATTGTTTCTGCCATATTGATAATATAGCTAACGTTTCTATCTGGGCATGCATCTTCAATTACATAAGCTTTGGCCATTTTATTTCTCATAGATTGATAACTCCATATTCATTCTGTTCAAAATACGGATGCAGAAATAGTTGTCTAGCCAAAGACAAAAAAAATGGATTTGGGATAGTTTATTCCTACGTATCCTCTATTCTCTCTCCAACGCCTTCCTTAGACAGTGGGTTTGTTTATTACCATCTTTCTCCGTCATGTCAAGACTCACGTGGTAATACTGTTAACTATATGTGCTTACGATCCTTTCTTAATACATTCCCATTATTGATTACTATGGACACTCTTTGTACTCGGGCAATCCCATGGCAATCCCTTTCCACTGACTGCGATTCATCCTTCTAGTTACTGCCAACACGTTTTATATCATGGCTAGCGATTTATCTCGAGTCGTGTTAAAAGCTACATTACGAGCGTAATTCTATCCGGGTTCCCGGTCAACCCCTTGTACAATTACCTCATAACCTCATCATATGATTCAGATGTCAAACGATAATTTCGCGAAAGTGCTTGTCTATTACTAAACAAAAACATTACTATTATAGTTACTGTCCTTTTCTATTACGACTATTCACTATCATTACAACTTGACCTGTTGTTATCATTAACGCTAATATTACTTTCAAAATCCCATAATCCCACAAAAGTGCATCTTCTACCCCATAACTAATCACGATGGCACACGTCGACACGCCAACTCGAACAGAACACGTCGCGAAGAGGAGGCGAATTAGTGGAAAGGTAAATGGAAATACCCAGGAATATGCGAGAGAGAATATATACTTGGAGGAGACAAAAAGAGTTACGGAAGAGGACGGTAGTGAGGATAAAAAAGTATTCTGCGGACGTGTCAAAGTGTTGCATGCAAGTGTCATTACTGACATATACTTTCGGATTGAACAGACACTGCAATGAGCAACGTTCATTGAGGTTACCTTCTGCTTTCTCTGTCTTATTGCTGTATGCTCATTAACCTACTTTAAAATTATACTTACGCCCTTCTCAGTCTATACTATTTTGTCCAAGTCTATTCTTTTCTGGCATACTTTTTTTCCGAACAACTATTAATTGTTATCCATTATCTATTAACTTTTCCCATTCTCGGTTTTTATTAAAGAAAAGGATACCATCACCTCTGACTTCACCACCGACTTCAACTTCTCCGTCTCCAACACTCGAATCCAATTCCTATTCTCATTCTTGCTCTCAGCCTCCACCAAACGTCTCGCCTTCTTCCTCCAATTCACAAACAACGACCTTGCCAGATCCATTATCAACACATATCAATAGTGTATCATCGCGGAATGTTGACACTATCGTGTTTGGAAGGTATGAAATAGAGACCTGGTACTATTCTCCGTATCCGGACGAGTATAGGAATGTGAAAAAGTTGTATGTATGTGAAAAGTGTATGAAGTATATGAAAGGAAAGGAAGTGTATGGAAGACATGAGGTGAGTTTGGAAAGAGTGGGTAACAAGTGATCAGAAAACGTAATGGGGTTTTAGAATATTCACGAGTCGATCGATCGGGGTCATCATCATCTGAGATTCAATTCATCGATATTGTACATTAGAACATATGTGACAAGAAGTGTCCGCCAGGAGAACAAATATATGAAAAGGGACTAAACAAAATATTCGAGGTCGATGGGAAGCTAAATAAGGTATGTATATCATTTACAGAGATGCAAGGACGTACATTCGACTTTACTTGACTTTCTTGTTTTGTTATTATTTTATAGCTATATTGCCAGAATCTGTCCCTTTTGGCAAAATTCTTTCTCGATCAGAAGACAATATTTTTTGATGTGGAGCCTTTTCTGTTCTACGTACTTACCGAGACTGACAAACATATTGATCATGTGGTTGCTTATTTTTCCAAGGTATTTTAAACGTTCGCTCCAGTACCAACTTTATTTAATCAAGTCGTACTCGTACTTATCTAATTTACTCGGAAAAAAAAATAAAGGAAAAAACATCCTATGAAGATTACAATCTAGCCTGCATATTAACGGTTCCTCCATACCAGAAAAGAGGATATGGTCAAATGTTAATAGAACTTAGTAAGTATTCCATAGCTTTCATTCTAACACGGATTTCCATACCAAAATATTGCAACTTGATGGGAAAGTTTTTTTTTGCTCGCAAGCTCAATATTCACTCAATCACCCATGATGGTTGTAAATGTAATGTACGACCTTTCATTCTCTGAAAAAGGTTACGAATTGTCAAAGAAGGAAGGAAGAGTTGGTACACCAGAGAGGCCCATATCGAATTTAGGTCTGTGCGCATATAGATCATACTGGACACGGACTTTATTGAGCGTATTGAAAGAATTAAGAATTAATGCGCGAAAGGCGGAAGAACAGCAACTTAATACAATAGACGTCAAAAAAACCGTTGAACATGTGAATGAAGAAACGATGGTTAGTAAAGCCAATCCAGAAGACAAAGATGCGGTTTCAAGTAATGTCACCAAGGAGAGCGTACCGTCAGTCGAAGGTACAGATCCCAGCATTTCAAATTCACTACCATCACTTTCACGGCAATCCATTCATGATCACGATCTTCCCAAATATGTACAAATCTCAATCAATGACTTATCGTCAATAACAAGCATTCGTCAAGACGATGTCATTCATACTCTGAAATCGCTAGGGTTTCTCAAATATTGGAAATTACAACGTCTACCATCCTCTCTTAATGGGACCGATCCTCCGCCGGCGGATGTTACCGTTTCTCCTGTCCCATCCAACTCGCGTTCATCTCCAACAAAGCCAAAGCCCGTCTCTCCAGTTTCTTCAACACCTCAAGATTTCTTGAAAGATCCAGTAAGCGATCCCCCGCCGGTTACGGATCAGTCTTCTAATGATAATAGTCATAGTAACGCTAATATTAATATGAACACTCATGGAGAAGAGGTAGAACAGTCAAGTGAAGCTATTTGTATTAGTTTAAAGATGATTGATGAATACGCGGAGAAGTTTGGTGTTAAATTGGACAATAAGAAATTAGATGTCAGGCGCTTGGTTTGGACTGGCGGAAGTAATGCTAAAACTAATGTTGTTGCTGTTGCTGCTGATGGCGATGCTAACAGTATTTGAAAAAGAAGGGAGGAGAGGGGTGGGGTAGGGGTGGGGTAGGGGTGGGGGGACGAGAAATGTATTAATTTTTTGAGAGAGTTTTGATGGGTAATTTGTATTACATGCTTTACGTTAATGACATAAGTAATTTGGAATTAGAGGCACAGAGAGTGGGGGAAATAAAGGGTAATTTATGTTGATCAGAGCTCATTTCCCTGTACGGAATTGAGTACCTTTATTTTCACATAAAATAAATCTATGCAAAATGTAAAATTTATGTATGGCTCACAAAATATTAGCAATGGGAATCACTTGGCAGGGGCAAATGGAATCATCACTTGACAAGGCCTTGGGTAAGTAAATTAATTACTGATTTATTATAGCGTCGACAAGTCAAAAAAGCATAGCAAGTGTCATAATATATAATATATCATTGTAATCTTTGCGTTCATTATACAAAACCAGTCCCTATGTTAATCCTCCCCTACTAGTCGCTCTCGTCATCTGTATCATCCTCTTTATTGTCTTTGTCAATGTCTTTACTCTCTTCACCTCCATCTCGTTGCACACTCCCCTCTCCCAATTTACTTTTCCCACCTTCAGCACAGACAACACAAATCAATCTATTTGCCGTATCGTGACTTGCGATAACTTTGTTTATTTGAGCCACCTTGTCTGGTTTTATTTTTTCCAGCGCCGAAGAGAGGTTCCAGACATTAACTATCCCATCAGAAGATATGGAAACTAGAAGAGTTATTGGAATCGAAAGGAATGGTCGATTCGAACGGATTATGTCGAGGGATTTTATTCTTTGTTGTTGAGTAAGGCGAGTCGGACAGAAAAGAATTCGAAATGTTAGTAAGCCAGTGCTTATATATAACGAGATTGTGACATGTTCGTGTATATACTTTCTCCTCTACCAAAGCGCGACCCCCCTTTCTAATCTTCATTTCTTACAAACCTGTTCTTATGTCCCGAAAATTCTACAATACATTTCCCAGTATTTACGTCAAACGCTCTGATAATTTTATCTTCGCTTCCTGTAATAATGACTTCACCTATATTATCATCTTTATAGTATCTCATGCAAAGGAACATGGATTTCTGAGTGATTGTCTGAGATACTTGGGCATCCTAATAATAGTCGAGGGAAAATAGTGTTTAGAGGACTAATGAAAATAGCAAGTAAAATGCCGAGTATTTAATACTTACTGCAACATTATATATTGTTATTTCGTTTCTTGACAAAATGGCATAAAACTCTCCCGATGTATTCCAGAGTACAACTTCGCCTTCTACAAGAGGATCAGGTTAACAACATCAAAGAGCGCAATCCCAAGATGATGATACTTTGCGTTTATTCTCGTTTCGTTTCAAGTCCTACGTACCTTTTCTAATCTTCCATACCGCACCCTTTCTTCCGTTAACCAAATCCCAAACAATCGCAGCCCCGTCTTTTCCAACACTCAGCGCCATCTTTCCCGAAGGATGTACAGCTATAGAATTCACACATGCCTTGTGTCCTTTCATGCTCTTTAAACACTCCCAACCTTTTGTACGCCATATGGCGACAAGTCCGTCTTCGCTACCGCTGAGCATGTGAGTTGTAGAGTAAAAGCACAGTGTGGTGATTGAGCCATTGTGATGGTGAAGTGAGCCGTGTTCTCTGAGTCTTTTCAGATCGTAGAGTCTAAACGTGAAGGAAGTGATTGAGAGTCAGCGAAGGACAGTTGGAGGTATCAGTGTTGATGTCAAGTGGAGGAGGCAAAATTCGCTAAACAATTTGTTGCCCGTTGACCGAGTTTTTTTTTTTCTTTCCCATTCGATTAGCTCACCTGATTATTTCATCCGTGCTGCCTGATGCCAAGTATCTTCCACTAGCAGCAACTGTCTTTATGTATCCGATATGAGCAGAAAAGATGAAAAGAGGCTCCAGCTGTAGTTTCACCTCGTCCTAAATTCAATAACCCAATATGTATAACACAAATAAGCATACTCCCCGAACAGGACACCAGAAATATTCTTTGTCATCAACTAATTACTTTGTCAGCTTGATCGTTGTCCTCTTTGATCCATCTTGCGTCTATCCCGTATAATATCCTCTCATAACTACCAGTTATTATACGGAAATCGCCAGTCGAAATTATCGAGTGATTCGATATAAATACATTATCTTTTAATTTATTTTTCCCCTTGTCGACCTCAGCCTGAACATTGTTGTTTTCAGACTTTTTAACATTGGTTTTTGTATTCTTTTTGTTCTCTTTTATTTTATCCTTTTCTGACTCTGGCTCTGGTTCTGGCTCTTTCACAATCCTCTTTTTACGAGATGATTTTTCACGGCTATCGTCGATCGTTGCCGAGTCACCATTACGGTCATCATTGCGGTCACCGTTACGATCTCGTTTATTTCGCAATTTGGATGCCCGTGGCATGTTCTGTAAAAGTGTGTGTCAATATTTTTTTTTGAATGGAAATTTTAAAAAATTTATGCACGTGGTCGCTCTACAATTTGCTCGAACAACCGTTCGGCTCGTATTTCTTAATTTAGTATGTCTCAAAAAAATTAACAATAATGTAATACAATTGATAATACGGTTTACTCAAATTTGAAGTAGTAACGCCCGAGTGATAAACCGTTATGTTCATTCATAGCAGTAAACGATTCCTCTGCTCAATCAATGAACTTTTGCAATATGCGATAAAGTCTTGATATTTACATTAGAGAATGTGCTCTACACTCTTTAAAACGTAAGGATGCCGCTCAAAAATGAGCTGCCTTTTAAGCACAGTTGTACCACATTTTGTTTCTGAGATTATAAAACCTGTTAACGCAGTATGCGGATAACAATTAATTAAAATCGATTAGTGAACCCAACTAATCTTTGTTTAGATCCACACGTGCGACGAACGGTTTACTTGTGAAACACGATTTTGGATTTGGGCCCTGAAAAATAATCCGCCTCGAAAATTTTGTACATCGATCTAAGAGTGCATATGTATGTAGTCTCATTCACAACAACTACTTTTAATTTCGTCAACAGAAATTGTGTTCGGTCTGACTTGCAGTTAGTTTGGCAAGTCGTATAGACGAGAACTAGTTAACTTTATTGAATAAACGGAGATTGTTAAATACATACGTTCATATATCGTTTAAATGTTTCCCGTCATTTCGCCATAAATATTCTCGCGTTTGCTTTACTTGCCATTAAAACCAAAGCTATTAGATCTCCAACATGCTTATTTTCAGAACTATGCAGTATACAGACCAAGGCACGTATAACAAGTTTAGTTTGTAATGAAAATCATGTGATGACAACTTTGTCGAAGAAATAGATTTACCATAACAGCCGGTAAGTTTGTTTGACATAAACAAAGTCTGATAATGCCTTACTAGAAAAACATGATTGGCCCAACCTGAATTCCCAATTAAGAGCTATTATACTACCATTCGCCATTGACTAATAATTATTAGTTAATGTCATCGTCTAAGTTACCTTATTACCGCAAAACAGATAACAATTAATGTTGTTTTTTTTTTTTTGCAAACTCACAAGAGGAATGATTCTTACCAATTGTTGAAAGCGATTTCAAGTCATATACTGTAACAAATACGCAGGAAATTAAGAGTCATAATCAACCGAGGCGTTGTCACAAATTGTGATAAATTTAAAAATTATTAAAAGTATTATTAGCAGAAACGAATAGCCAGACTAATTAGTAATCGTCCTGCAAACTTCTAAATATATAACAGTTTCATTCTCTGTAAATACTTTTTACTTTGCACGTAATTTGATTAGTTCAGTTTCGTATCCTACGGATTTCTTATCTCGTAATGATAATAATTATTATTATGGGAGTCATATGCATTATTATTAATCAATCAATTACGTAAATTATTCGATTCTATTAAAATGTCTTACTGATTAGGAACGGGAAGGAATGAGTTGAGGTGGAATGAAATGAACATGTTGGTTTATTGGCGAACAATGTTCCATCCCTTCCTATCATATACCGTCTGTTGCAGCATGTTTAATGTTGAAAATTTTAATAATTTCCGTTTTTAACATTTAATTACCTATTTTACGTTAAGCCTTTGATCACAAATCTGCTTATATAATGCCAAATTGAGAACAGACACCAAACTTGTGGCATGTGAAAATGGTAAGCTAGCATCAAAAGAAGAAATTCGTAACTTGCACCCACCGGTGCATCGATGAGGGTCGGGGAAACTCGTATAGATATCATTGAGGAGAATAGGTCAAATAACAATATTAATAAATGCAAAATGTCTATCAATCAAGGGTGATGGTTCATTATAACTTTATTTGTAATAACCATCGTGGCATCTATAAAGCGTTAATCATTGATATAGATGGATGATTGTCCTATGTATTGTCGAAGTACATAATATAAAGACCTCTCTCTTCTCCACACCGAAATGTAACACATATTAATAAAACTGGTCACAAAATATCCTGGCGAAAAGCAAAACATCAATATTTGCATGTTCAGGTTATTATTATATTTCAATCTTACGGATCAATGACTTGTATGCATCGCTAGAGTAAAATTGTCAGGCTAGCTTTATGACTCTTGTATCAAGACTGTACATTTTATCATGCTTCTTCGCATATTATTCACGTGAGTTGTCCTGTTCGTTCGCTTATGTCTGTGTAGTCACACAACATCTCGCTTGGCACGAAAGGGACAGAAATTAAAGGTAACCATACAAAAATCAGATAGCCACCAATAACGACGACAGTGCATCATAATAATATATGCATCATGTTGTAAATTTTTATTTATACTCTAACAAAGTACTATCATAGATGTATTGAAACGTTTGCTGACAAGTCAACTCAACGTTGCTGGTTCCCGTCGTCCTTTCCCTTTCCTTAACGTGGATGCTGCTAATAACGTCTGCAAATTCTACCCCATTCCTTTCCTTACAAACAACATAATCGCCTCTCTCCATATATATACACCAACATAGAACAAACTATAATAGAAACGCATACTTTTACCCAAACAACACACACAGTTTTGCAGCCATTACATTCACATCGTTACCTTTCCAATTAATAAACCTCTAAACAGTCGTCATTCCCTTCTGATCTTTTTAGATCTTGGGCATGAATGTTAATATATAACAACACATATACAGTACATACATTATAAATATACACTATATAGAACAGACTTGTAATCTTTTATATTACAAACCATTGCACCACACACCTCTGCCACCACCTCTAACTCTCCTTTATAACTCATGGCACGTGCAGACTCGGGCTACGTGAGCAGCCACGGTTCGATATCTAGTCAAAAATCATCTCAAGCTATTAGAGACAGTTATGATACCATTGAGGTGGAACACAAGGGAAAAAGGACGCATAATACAAACCAGAACGTTATCAACGACCATCTTCAAGAATCATTTCTTCAACATGACGATAAAAGCAACTACGGCAATGTTTATTTTCACAGCAGTCCAACAGATATAACTTACACCAAAGACCAGTTCGCAACGTCACCAAAATATTATACATCAAACCAGTACAGTCCTTCCCTACAACAATCCAAGCCTATCACATTCCTGCCTTCCTCACCAAATTCACCACACGCTCATCACCATCCCGACCGTCTACCTCGTCTAAATCCGTCCCAAACCGAAAACAGGGGCCGATCCCTCTCAGACTCGAGGTTGCCAGGGACGAATGGGGTGGTTGGGAAAGAACAATTGGCGAGAAGTTATAACGAGAGCGCTATCGACCAGATCATGTCGAGAAATCAAGTCGTTGCCGCCGGGAATCCATCTACGAAATTTTCCTCGACTAAAAGTGAGGGTGATAGAAGTAGGAGCAATAGCCTTCACGATAATCAAGAGTCGTCGTTTGGCAATGCCTTTGCCACCATGAGTAATACTACTGTTGCTGCCGATGCTGCGTCCATCGCTATTCCCAGAAACAAAGTCCAAGGAAGAGGTACCGCCACTAGTATTGCACAAGCCGCGTTGATACTCTATTCTACCACCGTAGACAGTGATGATGAATCCGAAAGCGATGAAGGCATTTATGTTGGTATTGTCGACGATGATGAGATTGACAACAATAATGGTTCATTTAGCGAATGGAACGAGCCATCCGAAGCAAATGTTGATAAAGAATTTGACACAAGAGACGGCGGATACGCCTCACAACAGCCTCAAAGTCCATCGTCACAGTATAAGCCTACGTCCATGAATCAACAGGTGTACCAGAACCAAGGACGCCCCCATTTGGATCGGCCATTGCCTCAGAGTCCGAGTCAAGACTACCAATCACCAACTCATCCAAACTTGGATCGTCCATTACCACAATATCCACGTCAAGGTTCTCCTCAACCACAAAACAATCTGAATTTAGATCGGCCATTGCCACAGAATCCGCGTCAAGAGTACCAGCCACAAAATTTGGATCGCTCATTACCACAATATCCACGTCAAAGTTCTCCTCAACCACAAAACAATATCAATTTAGATCGACCGTTGCCACAGAATCCGCGTCAAGAGCACCAGCCACAAAATTTGGATCGCTCATTACCACAATATCCACGTCAAGGCTCCCCTCAAACACAGACTCGTCTAGATTTAGATCGACTGTTGCCACAGAATCCGCGTTATGATTACCAACCGCAAGTTCATCCAAACTTGGATCGTCCATTACCACAATATCCGCGTCAAGACTCTCCTAAACCGCAATATCCGCGTCAAGACTCTCCCAAACCACAATATCCGCGTCAAGACTCTCCTAAACCGCAATATCAGCGTCAAGACTCTCCCAAACCACAATATCCGCGTCAAGACTCTCCAAAACCACAATATCCGCGTCAAGACTCTCCTAAACCACAAGTTAGCCCGAATATGGATCGTCCGTTGCCAAAGAGTCCGCGTCAAGAGCGCCAACTACCGAAACATCCGAATTTGGATCGTTCGCAGTCACGATCGCATTTGGATCGTCCATTACCGCAGGATCCACGTCAGGACTTTCAACCACAAAACCGCCCGAATTTGGATCGTCCGTTGCCACAGAATCCGCGTCAAAACGTGCAACCGCAAAATCGTCCCAATTTGGATCGTCCGTTGCCGCAGGGTCCACGACAAGTCGATCGTGACTTGCCACAGTTACCCAATGGCATGGAGCTGCAACAATCTGTGCAAGTGGCACCAGCTGGACAGAATGAAAAGAAGAACTCAGGTACCTAGATAGTTTTTGCAATAGGCAATTTGAGTTTTTTCCAACATGGATTGCTCTCCAAAGTATTCATTTACTTACCATACTTAGACCCGGCAGCAAGAATTAAAAAGCGCGAACTGGCGGTCAAGGAAATAATCACATCTGAACGCACGTACGTTGATGGATTGCGAAAATGCGTATCTTTCTTTTTGAACCCTCTTAGAGAGAATTGTCAAAAGGCAACTGCAAAGAATGGGCTTTTGCCAACAAAGCGTGCGGCTTCGGCGGAGGATATCAACTTGATATTTGGGAATATCGAGCAATTGTTAACCTTGCACGAGCAATTATTAAAGAGCTTGGAGGAGAGGTATGTCGCGTGAGTCTTGAAAAGATTTTGGGAGTTGTCAGCATTTTTTTTTTAATTATGTATGTGTCTTCTTTTAACCTTAGGTATCAGCAATGGAATCCAAATGAATTCATCAGCGATATATTTATCCGTACTGTAAGTCGTTATAATATTCCTCCTGTGACAAGTGAATCGCTTCAATTTTGCTGATGCTTGTTTGCATCAATTATTTAGGCTCCATACTTGAAAATGTACACAACTTATCTAAAAAATTTCCCTCAAGCCGTTGGCACGATCGAGCGCCTAAAGAAGGAAGCACAAGCATTTAAAAAGCTCGTAGCGGTAAATACTGTCAGGCATCTTTTATAGGCATCATGTATGGTACTAATTTCGCTAATAAAATATCTATCTGTTTACATAGCATTGCGTAGAGCGACCCGAACTTGGAGGACTACCTATGAATTCCTTTTTGACTCTACCCATTCAGCGAATTCCTCGGTACAAGATGTTGTTGGAAGCCGTGCTAAAGTACACAGACGAATTTCATCCTGACTATGAAAATCTACAAAAGTGTGTACAGCAGATATCAGTCATTGCAGATGAAGTTAATGAAAAGTAAGATAATCGTCTATGAATCAAGTTTTGGGTAATCAAGTTTTGGGTAATATTCTCTTTTTTTTTCTCACAAACTCATTCTTTTAATTTTCTTTCTAGAATAAGAGATGCCGAGAACCAACAAAAAATAGTAGAAATTCAAGGTCTTCCAGATGACATAGTCAAACCAGCGCGCAGGTTTATCCACAAGGGCGATCTACACAAGGTGGTGATGTCTCAACACTATACGACTCCATCCAAAGGGTCCGATGCTCGCACGTATTTTCTCTTCAACGATCTTTTGCTCTTTTGCGTGAACAATAACGGAAAACACATCTACGAGACACGATTTGATCTTGCATCTGCTAGCATTCGTGATATTGAAGATGGGTTATATACACACCCGTATTGCTTCCAGATAGTGACCAACAGGGGTGACTATGTCGTGAGAGCTACGACTTATGAGGAGAAACGTGACTGTATTGAACGGTTTGATGATACAATTTGGAAATTGCAGAACGGTGCTAGAGCGACTTATGGTGCCGATGGAAAGCGTGAGTATCGAGTATGACAAGCATTTAACGGAATGAAAAGTAAAAAAAGGCTAATTGATATCCCTTCTTTCTACAGGCTTAATTCCACTCAAACTGCCTGCAATTCCACCGCCTTCCTCTTGAAAACTCAAAATCGCCTCCCGACATCAGTAAAACCAACAAATCGAATCTCGTTGACAGTTGGGAAAAAAAAAAGTCAACTCGGATAAGCTTGGCATGTTGACCTGATCCTCATTCATATCTGAAAGAGTCTAGAGGAAAAAGCGACGGCCAAAATGTATGGCAACATTTTCACTTGAATTCTGTCGTTGATGTCTGCATTCTGGACGGTTTTCTCACCATATAAATAGTCTCAAGCATGAGCGTGTGCATCAGGACAAGTACTGTACATTCACCATTATACTTACATGAGGGCAAAAGAACACTATAACAGGTTTTCATTAATACGTCTGTTTCATAAATCATTATCCAGTTTTTATCGTTAGATGTTCTATCCATAATATCCATTTTGCCAAATAGAATCACAACAATATTCTTATGTATGATAGTTTTCTTTTTCTTTTTCTTTTTTTCTCCCCTACATTTTTACATACGCGCTTCCCAAAAGTGGACATTGGATTATCATGTCTTTTTAATTTAATTAATTTTGCATTTATTTGCCTTGGTGACAGACGGCTTGTAACTGGGTTAATACGGTTAATACGCCTCATCACATTTTTGGCGAATATTCTGTGTTATTTTGACTCGTATATAAATAAACATCGAATCCCAAATAATTTTTTTCCGATGATAATGTCATCCAGTCGACAGGGAGAACTCTTCTGTTCCTTATTGAGTTAGTACGGTTTCGGGGATTTTTATTACCGCGTTAACAATTTAATTGATTTATGCGAAGAGGATAATAATTTTCTTTAGCATCAATATTTCCTTTTATACTATACCCGTCTCCAACATCCAACCACTCACTCTATTATAACGCCTTACTAACAATCGATACTTTATCACCTGAAGTAGGGCGCAGAGGAAACCATGACCGTCTTCCAACCGTCATCCAAAGATTTGATAACGTCTTCTTCCAGAGGTTGGTCTTTATCGAGTAACTGACAGGCGGAGACAATATGTTCCAAGGACGAACCTCCGATTATGACACCATCTCCGAGAGCGGCATCCAACTTACTATGATGTCTCATCCACCTGAACGCGGCTTCTATGGCAGAATAACCGTGGGAAGCTGTAGCTTTTTGGATATTGGCAACTGCTTTCGCATGAGCTGGGGTCACATATCTTGGACGATACCTACATGGATGCCATTATGATGCATTCTCGTTAGTGTAAATAGCGGTGGCTACAACAAACAACAACGAAAATCCCAATATCAGTCAGAACCCCTTGTCCCGATGTGCTTATTTATATCACTGAAACGTACAATTTCCCCATCGCAGTGTTGGGATCAAAGCGACTTCCTTTTGGAACATCACCATCAAAGGAGAAATTTTCGTTGAAAATTCCACCGGCGATGGGATTGTATGCGTAAAAGCGAATGTTGAATTTCCGTAGACATGGGAAAAGTTCAGCTTCCACTCCTCGAGTTATCGCATTGTACATTCCTTGGTAGACGGTGGGTAACACGTAGCCCTTATTCTTGCATATGTGGTAAATGTCTACTACTTGCCATGAGGCATAATTTGATAAACCGAGCTTGAAGATGGGAGATGAACAGAGAATAATATACACATGTTATAATGATGGTGCAGGGTATGGTATGGTATGGTATGGTATGGTATGGTATGTGAACCATTTTCGGGATCTATGGGACGTAAATCAATAACCGAATATACCTCAGTGAAATGTCCAGCTTGATATAACTCTTGCACTGCCCCGAGCGTTGACTCGATAGGAGTGGTATGGTCCGGTGCATGTAAGTAAAAGATATCCACTTTGTTTACTTTGAGAGCTTTCAACGATTCTTTGAATAATTCTTTTAGTCTTTCTGGCTGATGCTCTCCTCCTTGGATAGGATACACTGGCAAAGGGATCGATAGATATGAGTATTGTATTTTGCGAGATGTCATAAGTCTGCCTAGTTGGGCTTGCCTTTGGTTGCTAGTTTGAACCCTCCTTTGCTTTGAGCTTCAAGTTGTCCCAACATCTAAAACCGAATGTTAAACGAGATTACATGTTATTATTAAAAAAAAAATTAACGATATCTCGGTTCAATTGCTCAAACAATTCGATTTTATCTGTGAATACATAATTTTACTGAATTACCTCTTCGGTTGTACCATCACAGTACATTCTTGCGGTGTCTACGATAGACGTTTTCAAATGAGACATTGATCATAATCATTTTTTTCTTCCAGATAGACTAGTCTCATTTACCAAGTTCATTCCATCCCTGAGCTTTGAATGCTTCCAAGATACTCTGAACAGTATTCAAGTCGTTAATACGCATTTGCCGGTAGCCGAAGGTCATTGTACTAATACACCGGTAGAAATATATTGATAAAGTTGCGACAGTCTAGTAATGTTAACGTTTAACATTAATGGCTCACCCGAGGATGACAGCCAACTTGGGTTTCGTTGCAAGCGAGGCCATTTTAAAGACGTTTGCAGAGAAATATTGCGGGGCTTGAAGTAGGATCTGCCTTTATAAGAACTTGATTTTGCACTACTGTATAACCATGACATGACATGTGCATTTGACGCGACCTTTCTCATTTGTCTGGTAGAGCTCGTTCCATAGCCGATCGTGTCAAATTGATTATGGGAATATCTCGGTGTGATTTTTAATATTCAACAACGAAACAGTGGATAGAGCGCGCGTTTTGATGTAATAAGGCAAACGTCAGTCGAATACGCATTTGTGCACCAAACTTAACTTGTGTGTCGTCAAATAGTGTTTAACAAGCAATCGTGTGCTTTTTGTTTCTGAGTCTTGTATGAATCCATTAATTGGAAGGAAAAAGAAAAGGAAATTTCCATAGAAAGCACGAATACCGTAATCAACGAAGATCTGTAAAATGAACATGTTGGCAAGAATCCCGTGATATTATTATCTAATTTTTAACAGTATCTTTGATGATATTGTCAACTCATAACTATTGTGAGGTTACATCACTACGTTATGTAAATCTCGTCGTGATTTTTTTAAAAAAAAAAAGCAAGCTACACCTGCAACACAGCACAGTTTTAAAACCGCTTCCAAACAACTATTCTGCTGTTATCTTGATCAAATAATTTATAAAAGATATACGGTACACTGACAGCAGGCTTGTTGCTACGTAAAAATTATACATGCGTCACTTAAATTTTTTTTTTTTTTCAATTTTCTTAGGATGCGAAATAAATGTAAAAAAAGTAATCGAGTTTATTGCTGCAGCGTAGACTAATCGACTTAAACTGCTTGTGCTTGATTAGAATTCCTTTTATTGACAGTCGTGAGATTGCTGCGAGTCTGAACTTAACAATGAAACATTTATCGCGCAGAATTTAGAAAACTGCATGCTTCAACTGTTCCGACAAAAGAACCATTATTATTAGAAAAAAAAACCCCGTTGATTTAGTCGAAAAAAGTTTGAATAAATTTGGAAACTTTTCGAAGAGTAATATAAATAATACCGGGTAATGTTTTTTTTTGCTTTTAATCTTTTAGGTTTCTGATACCAGAGGCTTACATATTTCTGAAAATATTTAAATTTACTAATTGTCAAATGTTTCAACCGAAACAACGCTTTCTTTGAAAGTTGAGAAACCTTGTTGTTATTTCCTCCCTTGGCGGTGCTTGATTTCTTCGCGACAAAGTTCGGAGTGTAAATACAATTTTAATCGCATTACTGTACACAAATCTTTATACAGTTACTGGCTGGTCTCGACGACGTAAACTGTAGGGGAGGTCGGAAATTTGGTCTTGAACAATATATTTAGGTAACCAAGGTTTTTGATACCATACGCAGATTGCTCTTCCTCGGAAAGCGTAAGATTTGAGATTCTGCATAATTAAGGCTGTTACTTATTTGGCGCTAATCTAAGTAATTAGCAAGAGGATTTTGAAGCAGGCGAGGAGAGGAGAAGTTTTAATTTGCCTGTGGATTTAAGTAAAAAAATAATAGTTTAATGTTGCTGATAAGAAAATCAACAATTGTTCTAATTGTCATAATTAAATGTCACCTAGGTTTCTTACAGGTTAAATTATTATTCTAATTCGCAGACTATAATTTATTTACAGTATTTGGTATTAATTGATTTATAGCGTGTTTATAGCGTGTTTTACAATTCTTTATCCCGAGCAGTATGGTAATATATAAAGTGCCCGGTGACGTTTCCAGTGAGTGTGTGATGCTAAAATCACTAACACTTTGAATACAATTCTAAGTTATGTTTTTAACTACTATGCAAGTTGTGGCCAACGTGCGGTTTATTCATTCCAATACTACTTACATTGGCAAATACTCATCCTGATACGGTAATATTAAATGAGTCCTAAGTATAATGTATTTGCGTATTAACCATTGCCCACCGCCTACATACATGGACGGCGGCTTGCTTAATAAATGTCACAACTTCTTGATTAAACTACTGGCAGCAAGTCAATGGATCATTTATTACGGAATCAAGTCGTTTGAATAAAGTAAGTATGATGTGATGCCTTACATGCAATGGATCGAATGCTCTATACTGTCAAACAAGAATGACATCATTACGCCGTGAATGCATACTAGCGGGTCTTATCAATCTCTGATTGCAAACATTTAGTTGCAGATCAAAACAAAAACACTCCACTCTAAATGTCAAGGTAACATTTGCGTATACATGTATATACTAAAACTCAATATTGCTCCCGAAGTTCGCTTTAAATAACCGATTTTTTTCTCTTATAAAGCATGCCTCTCCACTGTGACTTATCCAGGAACCGTTACGAAATGTCTCTATCAACAACGAATTGAATGATCGTATGCTTGAATAAGTTTCTTTCAATGAATGTAGTCGATAAATTATTTGATATGTAATTGGACAGCAACTCTACTTATAACATGAAATCTTCACTATGTTTACCTTTGTTAGACAAAGACAACGTAAACTATGTGTGAACGCTAAATGTTCAAGTGACTTGCATTGTGTATTTTATTGTGGAGTTATTCATTAGTTGCCTTCGGAGGGTAAACGGCAAAAAGATTTGGTAGGTAAGAAATTATATAATAATAACACTTTTTCTAAAGTTCGTGACATTGTAGATTCGATGTTACTTGCTGAAAATGAGTTATCACGTATACTAATGAGTTACGTATCAGCAAAACCAATTTGTATCGGTTCTTATATAGAACTATTTGATAACATACTGTAACTCGTTCACTTCAGCCTGTATATGTATTCCGCTTAATACATGTTCCCAATTGCAATGCATGTTTCCAGAAGTTAATACAGATAAAACCCTCTAATACTAAGTGCACACCATCTTAATACACAACCTCCCTAAATGCATGGCATAATTACATGATCCCGAGCTTGGGACTTGGTGATAAATGCACACCCCTCTATCCTGCGCGTGCAGTATTTTTCTAAACTATTGTTTCTTAAATGCACGCATGTGTTTAATATTGGTATTGACCAATCGGATTATTACTATTCTCTTTGTAAATAGAAATTTGAATTGGAATAATGGGTAGTCGTTATAATCATTGTTTATGTCAATTAGTCTGTATTGATTCAAGCGTCTAAGGAGGGAAATTGGGAACAACAGGTAGTCGTATCCAGTTGATAGCCAACTTATTAGAGATGTTGATTAGGCGAATGCTTAAGTCAGTGTTAAAATTCCTACTGTAAGTGCCAGTAAAAGTAGTGCAGCTTAAAAAATGTACGATTGTTTTTGTTACAACAGAAGACACAAGTGAGCAAATAAGAATATTAAAAAGTCTTGAAAGATAGGAGAAGTAGTCAAATGAGACAAATCATATTATTTATTAACCTAATACACACGATGCTTGTACCACTTAGAGGTCTTATCTGTATTACCTTTTCTGATGACTAGATGATTGATAAGATCCATTTACAAGCCGTAATTGACATTTAAGCCCAGAACTATTTGCCAACAGAATAATCGACTCAATATCGAAACAGTCAGAATTTGAAAGCCCGCATTTTTATTGTAGTGTTGACTTACTACTCATTATATTATAGTTATCAGCCATAATTTAAATTTTCACGTGATATGAGAGACTTACTACTGTCGCTCGAGAAAAAATAGACTATTATAGTGACTTTTTTATTATATGCCCTACGATTAAATGAGTCAGCAGAATTTGTATTAGAGGCGAGCAATTATCATATATAATACGTGCAATATTAATATCGCAGAAATAATAAATAGATCAAACATAATTGGAAAGTAAAACGTTGTTAGTGTGATATTATTTGATTATAATGTAACTCGACACATTATCTGAAGCAGAATAACGACAGACCAACTCTTTTTGGTTACCTTTTTATCACTCACACTGTAAATTAAAATGAAAATTCATTCCAACAATCAAAAGCTATCCAATCATTGAACTATTACAGAAACTATAAGAGACAAGCCACTGTTAATCTAAGTTCCAGAGTAAAGGGGACGAAGCCATCTCTTAAAAAATTTTCTGTTCAACGTAGTAGCGTCACACACACAACAAATTGAACCAATAGGAAGTAATAAGCACAACGCAGCGGGATACTTCGATTATTCCTTAAGTGATGAGTTCTAGCTCAACCACCGGCTACGTACCAGACAACGTTCTCACAGCGAGTGCATTCTCTACTACGATGTCATCTTCTACATCAACATCAAACAATTCCATGACTCAAGGCACTTTTCCTAAGATTATACTTCAATTGATGAAACAAGAACATATGTCAGCAGATGAACAAATAAAGGAATTGTTAAAAAACTTGCAATATTCTCAGAACGTTTACGCACTTAAATACGTTCTCGAACATAAGGAAGATTCTGTGTCAGTAGAAGTATTAAACACAATTTTGAAGAATTTATGTTCTCAAGAATTTGATGATGTGTTTTCAGGGGAAACAGTTATTAAATTGGAATGGCAATTGCGAATCATTATAACTATACTGGAACAGATGTATCGGAAGGGGTGTCAATTCACTGGTCGTTTCCTGATGGTATTCAACAAACCATTTCTAATCACCAAAAAGCACATTCATTGATTACACAGCACAAAGGCGAATTGTGGAAAACTCAGTGTGTAGGATCTAGTAAACAAGACAAAACTATCAAAAGCTTTAAATGCAATTACAATATTGACTACTTTCTCAAACTCATTAAAAATACAGTAGGTATTGTTTGCAGTGAAAATCAGTATCAGACAATTATTGATCGAGCTATTGCAGCATTGAAAGGTTTACTTGTTGCAGTTCCTGGACTGGCTAAAATTGGAGTTAAATTAATTACAGGTGTTGATGTTCCTCTTGGTGATTTTGACATAGAAAGATCCTGGAAGCATTTTAAAGAAGCCTTCCATGTTGAACTTTCAGGCAAGCCTTGGTATACAACCTGGAGACAACTTTTGGTATTACAAGACAGTCTTGATAAATGGTATCAACAAAAAG